AAGTAGTTTAAAAGTACCTTATGTTACTCCCTTTCATAGTCTGTATGTGAACTAAATTTCATCTAAATCGGTTTCAGCGTAAAAGCGTAGCAAGCATACATACACTCACATACATTTTCGCATTAAGATAATTGTATTCAGCCCTTTTTAACGTCCCACTGCTAGGCACGGGCCTCCCTTCAGTACGAGGGGTATCAGGCCATAGACCACCACGCTGGCCAAGTGCGGGTTGGCGGACTTCACATGTCTTTTTAAAACTTGCTAGGTTCTCTCAGACATGCAGGTTTCCTCACGATGTTTTACTCCACCGTAAGGCAAGTGGTAATCCTGTTAGAAAACGTGAAAAACGTGAAACGTGAAAATATTAGAGGTGCGAGACCCAGCGTTTGAACCCGCTTCACTCGATTTCCCAAGCGAGCGCGTTACCACTGGGCTACCACTGCCTTTAACCTGACCTGTAGTCCAATTGATTTTAGCTAATTGTTGGGTTAATATTAACGTAATTCTTGTGTTAAATAAAATTGCGTTCAATAGAGAACTCAAATTGCAAATTTACTTAATTGACAAGAATATCTACTTATTTCTATTTCTCAAAATGTTCAAATAAGCACATTTTGTCTGTAATCCATCAGCCCATTTCCACGTAAACTGCTAACAGACTAATAGGAAAATATTCCACAAACAAAGTTTCAACTATATTCCATAGATTAAAAAATGCAATATATAATTTCATTCTCTTTTTATATAGACAAGAATCACTTTATTATATAAAATAAATAAAACTGAGCTCACACAATAGAAAAATTTAGCTAACGAGTCTTCTTTTACGTGGTAGCCCTAACAACAGTTGAACAGACACCCGTTCTTGGAGCTAATTTGTTTGTAGTAGAAGACAGTGGGGCGGCCCAATTAGTGCGCCCGAAGTCTGAACCTGTGTTTCGTGCAATTGCTAACGATAACCCTATCTATGGTGGTACTTATTTAATGTTTAAAAATACATTTCACGCTTCGTTCGGGTTCGTCCCTGAGTACGTTTTAAAGGTTAGTATGGAATAGGTACAACACTAGCGAATTAGCCTCACTTCCCTAGGGCGCGTCTAAGTTTAAATTTTTTGGAGCAGGACCATAATTCTTTTTCTCAAATTAAAGTAGCCTCCTAAATTACTACTTATAATCATCTATATGCCAGTGAAAGTCCCGTCAAAATCAGTCCAGTCGATGCGGAGATTAGCCAGAACAAACAGACAGATAGACAAACAAAAAAATAAAAAATGTGTTTTTCTTGTAAGTGACTTGCTTGATTTATATACGAGTATAATTTCATATGGATTTTAAAAAAAAGCTTTTATTTTGATGTTACAAATTTTATTTATTTGTACATATACATATAGGTATGATGAGTTTTATATCCCTAACATGAGGAATGATTGATTCCCCATACAAACGTCCACCACCCTTTTCACAACCTTAAGAAATGATTTCCGGAATAAAAAATATCCTATATCCTTCCCTGGGTCTTAAAATATCTTTTTACCTAAAAAACTTCATCTAAATCGGTCTATTAGTTTTTAAATTTATTCGTTACAAACATACAAAAATACAAATCTTTCCTCTTTACAATAGTAGTGTAGAATTAGTAATTAGTATTATCATAATAATTTATATCAGTATTTTAACATGCTTTTTATTTATTATCTAAATATCTTGAGTAAGTACTCTCTTGAGAATAAATTTTAACTTACTTATAATTTCATGATATCATTTGGATGATTATGGCATACTAAGCTAGCATCGGAGATCTACAGATGATGCAGCCTCAAATGGACAATAAAACTAATCAATGTCTTCCATTAATGTCACATCGAATTGGGGCTCATTTCTTTCGTTTTTAAAGATGAAAAATGATTTATTTATTAATTTTTAAAATGTATACGTTATTTTAATGTAAAATTTTGTCTAATAAAATTTAGCTTAAGAAATGTTTGTTGTTCGCATCAGTAAAAGAGAAAATTAATTTGGGAAATTGATATTGTATGTATGTATTCAGCCCTTTTTAACGTCCCACAGCTGGGCACGGGCCTCCCTTCAATACGAGGGGGATCAGGCCATAGTCCACCACGCTGGCCAAATGCGGGTTGGCGGAATTCTCATGTCTTTCGAGAACTTGTTAGATTCACTCAGACATGCAGGTTTCCTCACGATGTTTTCAATCACATGAAAATATCAGAGGTGCGAGACCCGGGATTTGAACCCGCTTCACTCGGCTTCCCAAGTGAGCGCGTTACAACTGGGCTACCACTGCCTTTTAAATCGATATTAATAATATATTATTATATTTTAAATGGCTTAATTATAGTAATAATTGAATAAATTATTTACAATCAAATACGAAACGTGTCAAACTAATTTAGTTTACCCGTACGTAAAACCCATAACATTATAGTAATTCTAACATAATACAATTTAGTTTTATAGGTAATTATACGAACTCATTATAAATATAATAAAATTCTGATGCGTCTCAATAGTTCTGAGAGAATCTATAGTTTTTGGAATTTTTGTCTGTCTGTCTGGGAACGCTTCAAGAGAAAACCACTGGACAGTTTTTGATGAAATTTGGTATGATGATAGCTGGTTATATATGTACGATACTTTTTACTGCGAGAAAATGTTTCATCTATGAAAAATCTTTACTAATCGTTAAAACGTACTTAGGGACGAACCCGAGCGGAGCGAGGGTAAGTCGCTAGTTAAATATAAATAATAAACTTATACGGTTTTAGACAAACATTATATAAATATATATTTTACACATTCAGATATAGGTGTAAACGCGTATGCTTCAACTTTATAAATTTAATATATAATATCTCTAATGAATCTACGAAACTATAGGATTGAACTTTGTAGACTATATCATCTTATTTTAATCACTTAAAAATAAAGCTAATCATAGGCAAATATGTATTACATACAAGCTATGAGTCCCATGCCAGCAATGAGCAATGAGATGGGATTTCCCATCGGCAATAAAAACCAGCTTAAACATTCAAACAAACAAATTTGACAAATTTCCAAAAAGTTTTACATGGAATATCTTTTTAGATTTAGGTACGCGAATATTTGATGATATGAAAGATTTTAGTGCTAAAATATTTTTATTTAAAAATTTCATGCTCTATTTAATGCCGGAATATTTAAAAACCCAAACCCACTAAGGGTAGTGCTCAAGTTCGTTATATAAGAAACTCTTGTGCAAAATATCATGCTAGAGCCTCTTCTGAGCCGGTCTAGTCGGTCTAGGCTGTGCGTGTCAGAGTTTTATTAAGTAAATGTAATATATTAGATTAAATTAATAAAAATATGAGTGCTTATAAATGTTTCTATTAAATTCATTATAATATAATATTAATATTGAATAAAATTATGAAACAAAATAGTATAATCCTAGCTGTAATTAATATTAGACGCGCGGTCATCCAATGGACCAATCAGCGTTGATTAATTTGTACTAACAGCCTCGTTAATTAAAGCAGCTTTATTAATTAGCCCAAATGAATTAATAGATATGCCACATATTCTATATTTCGTAGATTTGTGTATGTACATACATATGTATAATGTATCGTGTCGGTGTGTATTTTATGTGAGAAAAACTTTTTAGTTTTAATTTTTTTTTTTCACTCTTGACTAAAATTTCCAAAAAAAAACCCAAATCACACATGTTTAACACTTGTAACTCGTATAATATTGCAAATGTAAATATAACGTTATCAAAACAAATATCATGTATATTTAATTAAAGGAATTTATATTAAAATTCAAATATAAAATGTATTATATTATTAGCGATTATATTCTTACGTTATTAAATCCGCTTTTAATGAACTATAAAATAAATTTTGTTCGGAATAAAAGCCACTCTTCAGTACACAACGAGTACAGCTAATTCGTTATAAACAGTCATTATCTAGATAAGCAATAAAATGTTGTCCCTTAATTGCGCTCGGTAATTATAAGAGAAGGAGCCGTGTTTATAATTAAAACGAATGAAGCATTGCTACTCTTTGGTCTAGTGATGTAGCTCTAATGAGCCACTTGCTAATTAGAGAAGGAACAACGGATACGCCATTCTAATTGGCTTTTGGGACCATGTCGCGCTCCAAAGTTATAAATTGAAAAGACTTTTGAAGTAGGTTTTATATTTGATTTAATTTATAGTGTTTTAAAGCTATTTCTTACATACTCGTATATTTATTTAGTGGTGTCGAAATCATTAGATATACGCAGAATGAAATAATTGAATACTTTTTTTTAAATTCATATAATATATAATTAAATGTTAAATAAGAGTAAATTTATATAAATAAAAAAGTTTTCTATATTATAAAAATTTTGCAAATTTTGCAAATAAAAAGTGAAATAACTTGTAATTTAACATTTTTCATACGCTTAAACTTTTTTATATACTAAAATTAAAGATATTTAAAAAAAATGTTTTCGGTAACACAAATCATTGCTAAGTATTATTTTTTGTTTCGTGAACGTGCATCTTTTACAACAAAAGTTAATATTTTTGAAATGCCGCATCCACTTATTCTCGCTCCACGTCGTTACGGCTATTCTCAATATTATTCATTAGCTAAGATATACGATACTGCGCCAATTAAGGATATTACATTTTCTTTTATACACATTCTGATTTAATTTACTTCCATTGCGGCTAATATTTTCTATAATTAACGTCGCTCAAAATACACTTTATATCTAAGAATACGGTTTTATTGTTGACGTAATTATAAATACCAACTTTAAAGCTTTAGTGTTTAGAAAGTCCTTTTGTATTAGAATACCAATTTACTCTTACAAGTTTTAATAGTTTTTCAAAGGCAACACAGGCGACTGTAGAGATCATTAAGCGGACTCTTCAAAGCTGTCGCCGCATTACACTAATTGACGCAATTAGAGGGATTGCCGAACGGAAATAAAAGTCGGCTCACCTTCATGAAACGCCGGCCCCGCCAATTAGCCTAGCCGGTAATTAGCCTCTTCAGCGCACTGCCGTTGATAAGTCTTTTTTTTTCCACTTATTCAAAATCACAGCACAATCAAACAATGTACATATTTCGAGTGTCTACAGTGAGTGACACCGCACCGAAAAGTTTTTTCGCGATCACGTGGACAGCGGAGCGATATACGCAGAGACGTGCACTCGCTGCCTCGGTTGGGAAGCGAATGAACGGGAGTGCTTACCACTAGGCGGGGAGTGATGCCCTTCCTTTTCCCGTACGAAAGCTTCACCATTGCGGAGCTTTTCGCACAAAGCTACAAACGGCACATAAGTCGTTGTGCCTCTGAAACGACGCTTAACGCCGTAAGTGGACAGAATGTGCTGTATTGCATTTGGGCCTAAATAAAAAAGATACTAAATCAAATTGTACTTGGACCATTGAATGTAACTATGAATTCTTTAATATTTAAAATAATAAAAAAATATATTATAAATTTTTAATAATCAGCGAGAGACTGATTTAATGATAACTATAGCGCAACAATTGTTGTTAAATTAAAATATGTATAATAGTAATATATTATTTAAATAAATAAGAAAATAAGTAGTATTTTTAAAATATAAATAAATTGTTATGGTTTTATACATTAAAATTGCCATTTGACAAGAAAATGTTACGCAAAAACACCATCGATATGAAATTACAAAATAATACAAAAAATATAATTGAATAGCGCGACCATAGAAATTAATGTCTATTATACAAGTTGTGCAATCGAGTGCAAGAGCATTCTCAACCATTCATCATTGATAAAACTAGTTGGCGACACCTCATTCATTGTGTTGTGAGCGGGAGACGGGCGTCGGGCATCCCTTGCATTAGATTACAATATACTCGCGTTTAGGCACTATTGCCGTCGGTGGTAAAAATAATATAACCAAACCAAAAATATTGTTTATATTTGATAGTTTCGATATTTTAAGTGATCAGTAGAAAATTCTGGTACTTGGTATGTCAATTATGGCCACTTCTATCTTAGTATAATTAGAACAAGGTTATCATTATTGTGTTATGTTGTTATGTTAAGGTTGTTTTTATAATTAATACTTTATAAGTTTATATTTAAAAAAAAAACTATTTATTTATTACATTTAATCATAGTTAAAAATAATGGAAAAATATAGATATTATATCTTTTAGAAAATATTAAAAACAAGTTTTTACATAATATTTAAATTTTACCGACGGTTAAATCATGAAGAAGAAATAATTTCAGCATAAAAATAAATAATAATGATATAATGTATAGTATGTTTCAGTAATTGAACAATAGGTCATAGCAATTGATTAAGAGACATGAAGGTGAAATATGAAATCTAGGCAAATAAAATATAATAATAACAAATTCTTTTAGTTGATAAGATTTTCATGCAAAACAAACAAACAATACATACTAACTTTTATATTCTTTCTTACCTACTCTAATTTAAACCGTTACTGCTTAGAATTTTTAATATTCATATCACAAAAACATGTCAAACAAGGGCACACCCTTTGTGATATATGTCTTGTTATCCAACTTTTCTTATGCACGCATTCCTGTATTGAATCAATTAAGTCACGGTAAAAGGGTTCCATAAAAGATGATTTATTACTAACCACCACAATACTTTTAATTAATATCTCAAGTGACTCTCCATAAGTTTAGTAATAAAACATTCTGTAATATTTCGTTGATAGCAATTATTATTATTAGAAAAACCCGGTTTAAAGAGAATAGGAACAAATAAATCATTGGAAAAAGAATAGTGGTTTTTTTATAATAATGCGAACCATTTGTGCCTGAATTATTAGATTAAGATATCCATTTTAATGTTAGCATAATGTTGATTCCCACTTAAAAAGTTTTTGAACCTATAAAATATAATTTTAAAATAAAGTCACTATGCCACATCCGAATTAATGTATCACTGACTTAATCTAGTAGCTGTAGGACATATTTCGCGGGTTGGATTCCTTACTCCGCGACAAATTGACTTTATATTTACATATTTTACCCAATCTGGTTAATACAAATTACCAAGATGTTGTGACAAAATTTCAAAAAAATAAAAGATATACTCTAACACTTAGTAATTGTTTTATGAGATTTTAAATATATTGGTTCCACTTATTTGTGAGGATTATAAATCTATCGCTTCTTTCGCGTGGGCAAGTTTCGAAAAAAAAAGACATTTTAGTATTTAGTTTAATTATTATTTCTTTATAAATATATAGATAGATAAATACGTAAAATATTATTATGTATATAGGTACATGTACGTTATATATTAGTGATTGTCATCACTAAATATGATTTCGAAATATGAAACTCCCGTAAATCTATACATATAATAAAAGTGTAACTGATCGCTGTCTGTACATGCTAGATATTTGAGAAAAAAGTATTTTTGGGGCTATTTATTAACCCAATAGAACCCAAAACAATGATCTTTAAAAAAATTGTCTGTTTGTCTATGTTAATCGATTCACAAATAAAAAAGTTATGTCTATTTCAAAAAATACCTAGGGTCGGACTCGAGCGAAGCAAGGGTGAGCCGCTAGTGTTAAATAATAATTGACAATAATTGTTTCATATCTACACCTAAATAATAAATATGTATGTCTGTATAAATTAATTACAGATAATAATAGTATAGTCATAATTAGCGACCATTGTACTCAAAATAAAATGTTGTGTATTACGTGTATTCGAAACGAATCATGCGGTAGTGTTTGATTTGCTGTTAGGTAGAATAGAATAGACCAATTTAAACATACATGACATGAATACGCAAAATTCCTAAATAAATCGAAAGGAACGCCTTGCGTTTCTGTATCAATTTGCAATCCATTCAACACGACCGTGCCCAAAGTAAGGCTGTGCAAATGTTTTTTTTAATATCGACAAAACACGTACACTTTCATCACTGTCATCATATTATAAATGACAACAATGTACTGAAGACGTTGCAAATCAATTTTGAGAAGTTATAAGCGTGTAACGTTCAATGTTAATATGCTAGGCAATATTTGTTGGAATCATATCGTACCTATACAATATGTATTACATGAACATGTAGACTAATACAATCGACACATCGATAAATCACGCGTACATCACTAAGGTACAGGCAACCCAAACCGACGCGTTACATTGACGCATATATTTCTACACTCGATTAATTTACAAGCTTGTTACTTACGTTTTTGCTCACAAATCATTCGAGCTTAGATGTTTTCAATTTGCCTTATAAAGTTCGTAAAGAAATATACGTAATAAGGCACAATGGTTGTTTGATTTAAGACTACGTTTAAATCATCTTACGCTTTATTTATTAAAAAGATAGGACGATATATAAATATTGTATTGCATACCCAGAAGAAGAGTATGCAATATAGGTAAATCACAAAAAAATTACGAACAATCTCTGACAGATAACCTTAAATAAAAGAGATTATAGAGTGATAAACTGGACAATACAAAAAATACAAATAGGTATACAAATTATAAAATCTACGACTACATACATAAATGTATACATGTATCATAGTATATACACGTATCTATATACATATTATATATAAAACTGTAGAGGTTGAATGTCTGTACATAGAAAAAAAAATGCTAAAAAGCGAAATGTAAGAAGAGCAATAGAAGAAATCCAGATTTTTTCAGTTTTTTTGTTTCTCTCTCTGTTTATCTGTTTATACGGGCTAATCTCCGAAACTGTTAAGCCGATTTAAATGAAACTTTTCATAGTGGTACATTATATCCCCAGTCAACATTTTAAACACTTTTCATCCCGGAAAATTAAACAGTTCCCGTGGGATAGTTAAAAAACTATAGTATCTTATACAGCTTAGTACACAAAAACTTCCGATTGGATTTTAATGAAACCTTACAATAATTTAGTTTATACATTAGAATAATAATTAGGATACTTTTTATCCCAGAAAAATGTACGGTTCCCGTGGGATAAATTTGTTTTTGTTTGTCTAGAGGCGAACTCGAGCGAAGCGAGGGTGAGCCGCTAGTCTGTACATATAGTAAAATAGTAACAAAGCGAAATCTTTATATGAATTATTTATAAAAATAATGACTGCCAAGTACTTATTGTGTACAGAATATAGACCAAAACAATAATTAGTAGGAGAAGGCCTACAGAAAAGTCTGCAATAGCATATCTCTGGCTAACTATTCCAAGGTTCTATGTTAATTTTAATAAAGCCTAGTAATTAGACTTTTTAATTTTTGAGTTTCGTAAAATATATATAGGTATAGTAGTCATAAGCTTCTGTGACATTATAATATCATCATTTAGGACTACTATTGACTTTTATATTCTAAAATTTTATCTCATCATTCATCATCATCATCATTCATCGTTGATACAAAACAGCTGGACTGATTTTGACGCGACTTTCACTCACAGATAGCTGATGTTATAAGCAGTAACTTAAACTACTTTTAGTTTTGGAAAAAGAATTAGGGTTCCGTGCAAGAAATTAAAACTCATGAAATTGTGAACAAAATCCGCGTTCCTATGGACGCACTCGAACAAAGCTAGTATACGTCACTAGTCTATAAATAAAGAGATAAGTAATATTAATTAGATGACGGCTGACGCGACGTTAAAAAACATCTTGTAATTTTGAGTGGCGAACATCGCGAAGAAGCACGTTCCATAATTTTACAGATCTATACATATAATAAAATTGTAACCAAGCCCAATCTGTACATTAAATAATTTTTGGAAAATCTTATTGAAATAAACATTATTATCGATACAGAGGCCGAATCTATAGTTTTTAGAATTTTTGTCAGTCTGTCTGTCTGTCTGTCTGTCTGTTACCGCATCACAGAAAAACTACTGGAGGGATTTTGATGAAATTTGGTATGGTCATAGCTGGTTATCCGGATCAACATATAGGATACCTTTTACCGCGAAAAA